TCTTCTTCTTCTTCTTCTTCTTCTTCTTCTTCTTCTTCTTTTTTGTTTGTTTGTTTGTTTGTTTGTTTAATTTATCTGTGTATTTCTTTATTTTGGTGGTGGCCCAGCCTGCCCTGGGGGCAGGACTGGTACAGCATGTGGTGCTGGGGATCAAACCACAGTCCCTGTGCTTTGCCTAAGCTTGCCAAAGTAGGCACTTTAGAGCGCTGAGCTATTTTGCCCAGCTCCACATAGAGTATCTTGTTTGCCCACTTCACTCAGAGTTGCAGTGTGCTGCTGGACAGGTGATGGCATAGGAACAGTGGACAGCAGTAGTCTTCGTCCATCACAGAACTTGGCATTCAAGGTCATGCAGTGCTTGGTAGCCGCGTTAGCAATTCTGTCTCAGATCATTGGTGCTAAAACAGTGGTGAAGGCCATGGCTGTTGCTTTAATGCTCACTGAACATGCTAAACCTAAACAGTGGTACAGTGGTTTTCCAAAAAAATTTAAAACACAAACCTCTAATGCTAATACCTTCTAGAATCCTGTTTCATACTTAATATATCTCTGCACTTTTCATTTCTTTACAGCTACTTCCCAGGGCATAAGCCAGTCTGGGAGCTTTTAATCATTTAATTATTTTAATTAGGACTGATTTCAGTGTTTATTGTCTTAGACACAATTCTACCATCTTTCTTGTCACCCCCGGGATTTTCTTTGATTGAAATATGTCCCTTTTTCCTAGGAGTATTAGGCTAAATTGTCTTAACACAACCCTTACATTCCTTAAAGAGCCAGATTATAAGTACCTGACCTAAATGGTCCCCACTTGTTTCTTCTTATGCAATGGTATGACCAGCAGCTGTTGTTGTTAAAGAAAAGAGAAAAAAAAATGTCCAGACATTCCGTCTCTAGTGGAGGTCTTTTCTGTCTAAGCACCCTCTCAGCAGCCAGGTTTCAGTAGAACATCTCTAGGAACATTAGCCATAACCATTAAAAATCTATGGCCTGTTGCTGTAATAGCACACTTTTAATATGATGCTGTTGCTGACAACAGATCGTCTCAGTGGTTCACATTTTTAGGCAAATGTAATTAGCTCATAGCAAGCTAGAATTACATCTTCACAGTCTAGTTGTCCACCTTGGTCCCTTCAGCAAACGGAACGCACAGCACAAATAGTAGCCCCTGCTTGATGGAAGTGGATTCTTAACAGGGATAAGGACAGGCTGGCAATGGTTATACCCTTAGAATAAAATAAACTAGCTCAAACAGGAATGTCAGGAAGATGAATTGGTTTATAATGGAAGAGTTGGTACTTTAAGGTGTATTAAAATCAAGGTGCTGGGGCTGGTGAGATGGCTCAGTGGTCTAGGGCACCTACTTAGAACAAGCTAAGCTAAACAAAAGCACAGGGACCGCGGTTCAATCCCCAGCACCACATGCCAGCCAGCCCCGCCCCCTGGTGGGCTGAGCTGGCCACACACACACTAAATAAATAAATTAATTAAAAAAAAAATCAAGGTGCTATTGAGACATTCATATAGAAATATTAATAGGCTATCTGATCAGAACTGATGATACTAAGATACTATATTTGTCAACCAGTATCTTTTTTAACCTTGCCAAAATACAAGAAAGAAACATTGAAAAAGTAACTTCTCAAACCTGTACTTCTGAACCTAGTGAATTATAGTGGGAAGTAAACTGCCAACTAAAATGGCATCATCTAGAAGAATAAAATAGATCATCCAGATTTTAGACCACTTTGGCAAGACTGATCTAGGCCATCACAGCATAGTTAGACCTGTTTTAGATAACTGTTCAGTTTGTCTCCCCCTCAGGATGGCTTTTGAAAACAGTATCTTTATGTCAGTCTATTGCATAGTACAATTTCATTTCACAGAATTCTCTGCCTGTTTTGCATTAAAGCTTAAAACAACAGATACAGGAAGAATGTTCTGGCCAGGGAGATGGCTCAGTAGAATAAGCACTTCCTTGGCAAGCACAAGGGCCTAAGTTCAATCCCCGGTTGTCAATAAATCAATAAATAAATAAAATTTAAAAAACTATAATGTTCCCAGAATTCAACTTTATTTAGTAGGTTGTATGTATTAAAGTAAGGCATGCACCATGAATGTTTGTACTGTTAATGACTTGTGCCTGTGAGTTCTTGCTCTTGGCTGTATCTGTAGAAAGCTGTTGCTCACTCTCACAGGCATCCCAGCTTCCCAGGAAGAAACCCCACGTAGCTTGGTGGTGGTGAAGTTGTGGTGTCAGAGCTAGAGCTGATTTTCCCTAGGAAGTAATGGTTCATTACTAATAGTATTAATTCGGTCATATTATCAATTTTGACAGTTCTGTGTAAGAATTTAAACACCACTGAGAATTTAAGCATCATATGTGAGGTGACTCCTTTTGAAAAAAACCTGAGTTAGCTGAAGAATTTTTCAGCATAAAAGAAAGATATCCTAGCACATGGGAGGGTGTGACAGGAGGATCACTGCAAGTGAGGCCATCTTTGGCTACAAAGTGAGTTCAAGGCCACCCTGAACTGCATAGTGAAACCCTGTCTCAAAAAGATAAGCTTAAATCACAACTGATGCACTTTGAGACCACATTGGTAAATGACACACGTTTAAATAATATACGAGAAACTCAAATTATAAATAAAGAACAAGATAAAAGGTACGAATTAGGGAGTTAGAGCCTTCTCAAATGAGAAAGGATATAAAGAGATGTGGGGGTTGAAGAAGGAGAGAAGATGCCTTGCAGAGAATGTAATCAAGCAGTCGTCTCACCCAGCTCATCCTCCAGAAAGCTGGGGTAACTGGCACAGTAACTATGGCTGGCTTCAGAGCTTGTTAAAATACAGCATAGGCTAGAACATAGCCAGTTTGTTGGGCATTAGGTGTGTAAAGAGTAAATTCTAGTGCCATAATGGAAAAGGCTGAGAGGAGTGTGACAACTGGTGATGGTGAGTGAGCACCGTGGTGGGCAGACTTAGTGCAGCAGCCCTCAGGCCTGCAGTTTCTTGCCTGCATTGATAATGAGCAACATGAGATCATCTTCTATTTGGATTATTTCCATTGATTCTTTTACTGGCAGATCATTAAGCAATAAGTTTTCCATTGTATAAACAGTATATGTAATACGTGTTGTCCAAGTTTACAAATAAAAGCTCAGCAATCGTAAAAGATACTTTTACTCAGACTTTTATTCAGTTAGATTAAAATTGCATCATTTGGTTTACCTAAATCCTTTGAAATTGTTAGCACTAAATGATGTAACTGAATTTATTAGTTAATGTTTACACACAGTGACTGTTGAAAAGAGTTCTTTAGTGGCTGTTATGGTTTGCGTCTGGATGTCGCTCCCGCTCACCCCATCCGCCCCCAAGCCTCATCAGGTCATGGGAGTTGGGCTTTTGCCAGGCAGCTGAATCAAGAATTTATAATTGATTCATGGCCCAGAGTTGGGATTAAGGATGTAAGTGCTACACCCATCCTAAGGTGGGCAGCCTGCGTACAGAATAAGGGCAGAAAGAGACTTGGCCCTATTCTCTTCCTTATTTTTGCTGTCTTTCCACTGCTGTGAACTGTTGCCCCTCTGCCTTGAAGCCAGCTGATTATGGACTAAGTTAAATAAACCTTTTCTTCTTTAACTTTGGATGTCAGATATTTTGTATCAGCAACCAGAGAAAAATAAGACAATGGCTATGCATTATTTGATATATAATTAAATGCATATTTAAACTACATTTATAATGATGAATTCCTTAAAAGGTGTTATGGCATGGCAAAATTATTTAAAAATTGTTTGACTCTAAATCACAATAATTGGAAAGTATGGAAGAGAACAACCTCTGGGTTGGGTGAAGGTTTTGTTTATTTATCTGAGGCCCAATTTTAGAGTTTTTCCTTCTTTGATCTGCATCATTTTTTAAGATAACTGAGATATAGCCTGAGTCTATCTGAACACCACAGACTTTAAACCTGAACTTGTTTTCCAAAAGACCACTGTAACACAGCAACTAATGAAGGATATTTTATAGTGATATCCTAACGAAGAATACTTTCATATGTATCTTTCTCAGTCTCCATCGTATTATAATGCTGCTACTGAGTTTATTCTACCAAATGTGCTATGTGCACTGTGTACAATACCTCTTGCCCACAACATTCTCAACTGAGGGAATCATGTAATCACCAACATGGGGATATAAGAATCCATTACAGAAATGGCCAACAACTTGCCATTACTAAGTATAGGAAATATTTGAAAAACTAGTAGGTAAGAAAGCTGAATAGTAGAATGAATCCAGATACTAATCAGCAGAAAAAGCTGGCACAGAAGTTACATTGCTAAAATTGCAGGCTGAGCTAAGATTTTAAATCAGGTGTATGTAATGCAGAGCTCAGGCGCAAACAGCTATAAAGATTGTCTTTATGCAATACACATGGACTCATTTTACTGAAACAAACACTGCACTAATATAAAAAAAGCTGGTTGGCAATGGCAGTATTCCATAATTACCATGTAATTTCCATAAATAAACTTATTTTAATTTTTTAAAAACTAAGCAGGTTTGTGGTAGACAAATTGGAAAATAACAGAAAAATGAGCAAAATTAGTTTTAGTTTTAACATCGAGGCATAATAGTGGCATATTTTAATTAATGTATCATGAAGGTGTTCTCACATTGAAACAGTTTTAGAATGATAGAGTATCTGTAACTATACCAGAATTTATTTAGGCACTCAGTTTTTTTAGCCACTCTCATTTTAAACCACCATACCATAGTAACATCTGTTTCTGTGCTTATCTTTTAAAATAAAAATTTTAAGCATCTGGGGGTTCAAAGATTTGTACATTCTTAACTCTTCAGTTTTATATAGAAAGTATATTTTGAAGTATTAGAAATGCTTAATTCCTCATCTGTATATAGTATTTTTACAGAATTTCCCTTAAATTTAGAGAGATTTTGAGTAACATGATAACCAGTTCTTTTGTTTTTCAGGAGATGATTTTACTCTAATTCAACAAGAAATATTTATGGTTAAAGAATGTAAGCACTGCAACATTGTTGCCTATTTTGGGAGCTATCTAAGGTAAAAATCAGCCAATCCAAAGCATTTGTTGTCTGTGTAGCTTATATTTTTTGCCACCACTCTCCCTCTCTCTACGCAAATACTGTTGCAAATGGACATTTAAAAATTTACTTTGTTCAAAGTTGTGAATTTCTGGGGACCTGACGAGATAGCTCAGCAGTCTAAAGCACCTGCTTAGGCAAGCTTAGGCAGGCGCAGGGGACCGCAGTTCAATCCCAGGCACCACATACTGTGCTAGCCCTGCCCTCAGGGCAGGCTGAGCTGGCCAAAAACAAAGTTACAGATTTCTGAAGTTTTCTTCCCTGATGATACCAGAGATCATATTAATAATGGCACCTCCATTTATATGGTTATGCTTTGTCTGGCAACCTTAGTGAAACATAAATAATTATAAGTGTTTAGATTACTGAGCATATGCTAAATAAACTATTTAAGAAAAGAACAAAAGTGAAGCCTGTATGCTTTTCTGTATATTGAAAAGAGGTTTCTGTAGTAACTAGCACTCTGCAGAGCATCCTGAATCCAGGTTGCCAAGAGAGAGCCTTAAGAGAACTTATTTTACTGATTGAGAATTACCAGCTAATATAGTTTTCTTTCTTTCTCAGTCGAGAAAAATTATGGATTTGTATGGAATACTGTGGTGGAGGATCACTTCAAGATATTTACCATGGTACTGTTATTTCAACTTTACATTTTCAAACCAACATTGACTTTAACGATTGTTATATGACATTTCCAGCTAATAGGGAAATTAATAGGTAGATATACTGCTTTACATTCTTTTGTTCTTGGGACACTGCACCTAATTTATTCTGTTAACCAGTTAAATTAGCCTGAGTCTGAACTGAAAATGCTTAAAGTATTTATACAATCTAAATTTTACTCTTTAGGTGTAGTCTATAAAAAAGTGTTTTGTCTATAAATGAAACTGCCTAAACTTACTGTAAATAAGAATTTAAATTCAACATAAAGGAAATTGTGCATGACTTAACAACAAGAAAGACAATTTATGTGCTACTTTAATAATTTTGTATTAAAATGTGTAGGGTTTTTTTTTAACATGTTAGAGCTCTGTTAGTCTGGGCAGTTTTTGGAGCAATACTCTTTAGGAATGATGATATCAGTTCTGACTCTGCATTCAGGTTCCAATCTGTATTGTTGTTGACAGTTTCATGAATCTGTAAAATTTGAACAAATCAGTATGGACCTTTGTGGAATAATTTTTCTAGTTCAACATAGAGGTGGAATAGTAAAGCTCCTATTGTAATCTTGTATAGTTTATTGTTCAGAATGATGTGAAATTCTGCCTGATGGTGCATACTGTCACCCCACTACTGTGGAAGGCTGATACAGGAGAAACACAAGTTTGAGCCCCATCTGGGCAAGTTAGTGAAACTCCGTCTCCAAAAAAATAAAAGGACTGAGAGTGTAGCTCAGAAGTAGAGCGCTTGGCTAGCATGTATGGAGTTCAGTATGGAGGGGTTATGGAAAATAGTTTTAAATATTTCTCTGCTGAAATCTTTATATTGGAAGTTGTATTAGTTGTACATTTTACAAAGGTAGCTACAATAGATTTAAAAATAGAAATGCTATTCCACTTTCACATTTTGTAACTTAGATCAAATTTTTAAAATGTCAATCAGTAGAGTAGTGGCTAAATAACCTACAGTACACTTATAATATGGAAGTCCCGTGCAGTGCTTTAAAAAGATGATGCAGCTTCATATATAGTGACCTGGAGGTGTGTCCTCAAGAATATGTATAGCAGTTGATCATACTAGGGTTTCAAAATTAAATTCTTGTAACCATACATATGAATGTAAATGCACAGAGAAATAAAAAGGTATGTACCAGATAGTGAATACCATTAAGAGAAGAGAAGCAGGGTTCTGAAAGAATTACACTAAACATGTAGTGTCTTGACCTTTAAAAAGGATAATATATTTTCATTATATTTCAATATTCCCTGTGTCTGTGTGGCTATAATTATATGTTTATCTAGTTTCTTAGCTTTATTTCTGAAAAATAGTTCAGGATTAACAGTGTCATATCCATTGCTTTCTATAGAATTCCCTGTGATGCTTAGTACTAATCTGTGATGTGGCAGTTACATATTTTGACTGATGAAACTTATTAAAGAATAAATCGTATTTTAAATATACACATTAAAAATCTCTATGTTACCCTTTTTTCCATGGCTATAAAAAGAAAATATGTTCCTGGTTAGAAGGGAAATCATCCATTGACTTATACATTAACTTTCAGTTTGTCAAGTAGATTGTTTTTAATGTTAGGTTCAAAGGTATAACAGTCTTTTTTTTTCCCTAGTTACTGGACCATTGTCAGAATTGCAGATAGCCTATGTATGCAGAGAAACTTTACAGGTAATTATATTTGTATTTGTAAGTAGACAGGTCTCATTTCACAATTGGTGACTATAAAATGGTGGCCTATCCAAAAGAGAAAGGGTAAGCCAAAGTGATTTTTCTGTTAATCCCTTGTATTATAATTCTATAAGCTAGTTATTGTTGAATTACAAGAAATCTTTAAGCTGATGTGGTACACAGTGATGGAATGTGGTAGTTGCCTCTGATACTGATATGTCAAGTGATCATGTGAGATAGTCAGCTTTGTGCACTTGGCCTTCAGTTGCTACAAAGTGGAAGAAAGCTATAGGTGTACATTGGCTTTAATCAATGAGTCGCCCCAACTCCCCAGTGTAACAACTGTCTAGGTCTGCTTTTAGGGCAGACCTTTACCATTTCTGCCCTTCAGACAAAAATTACACAGCAATAACCCAGGGTGTTACCTGGAATATCTAGCTCTGCGAGGTGTTTTTACATGTAACGATAGCAGAATCCCCTTTTATAACTTTGGTTAACAATTATATTAAATGTTTTTGCTGCTTTACTATATGACCTGTGAGCATCTTTAGTATCAAAAACTGGCTTTTTGGTAGAAGTGTAGGGTATGTGCCATTTTCGCAAATTTATTTTTTCTTAGTTCCCTAAAAGACTACTCATTCAGAAAATTAGCAGTTAACAATTTTGTTTATATATATATTATATATATGTATATATATATATATATATGAGAGAGAGATTAAGTAGTAATAATTATGGGCCTTATTTCTGTTTTTGTTTTTTGATAATTTACAACTGATAATTGTTAACTGATAATTCTGTCTGTATATTTGCGAGGTTGTGTAGTTTCTTTAGAAATGATGTCTGTATGTGGTTCTTACGTATTCTAGAAACTGGGAGATTGATCAGATCTAATAGAAAGATCTGGTCATTTTATCAATAATTCATTCATACTTACTTTAAAAGACATCTTAGGGGCCAGGGATATAGCTGAACAGCATAAGCGCCTGCTTAGGAAGTGCAAGGTCCTGAGTTCAGTCCCTGGTACCCTTCCCCCACCAAAAAAAAAAATTATTACTTATAATAACTAGTGCAGTGTAAACATTTTATAAACCATCATGTCATTGAAGAGTACAAGTAAAAATATCTGTATGTTCACTGCAAACAGTTTTTTCTTACATATTTTTAATTCATGAATTGTTTAAATCCATAGATACAGAAACTACCGAGGGCTAGCTACATGTATTTTCAAATATATCTTTCTAGGGCTGAGGAGATAGCTCAGTAGAATAAACGCTTGCCTGGCAAATGCAAAGGCCTGAGTTCAGTCCCCAGTGCTGCAAAACAAACAACAACAAAATATATATATATATATATATATATATATATATATATATCTTTGTATAACATTTACACAGTGTAGAAATGTATATAAGATGCAAACTTAATTTTGTATTCATGGCCAGAAATTATTGACGAAGTTGTTTCCTTTATATTTTAATTTGTAAACATTCACTGTTTCTTTAATTATTTACCATGGCTTATGAAATAAAGAAAACAGGGAAAATATTTGAAGCCATGATTTTCAAGACACTAGATAGCAGGTAACAAAGGACAGCAAGATCTGAGAGATAGGAAATGAAGGAAAGTTTTATTGTCTCATTGTATGGCCGAGGGAAAGTTTCTAGGCCTTGGTACAGTGAGGAAGACACCAAGAGTGGATCCAGGGAAACCAAGGCAGCTCAAGTGCCCAGGATAGTATTGGGAAGTATTAGCATATTTTTAAAATTCAAAGTATACAGTACTCTAAAGAATATGGTTCACAGTGCCAGACATCCAGTCAAAAATAACTGAGTATTACCGGGCGTGGTAGTACATGCCTGTATTCCCAGCACTCAGATGGCTAAGGAAGAAGGTTCCCTGTGAGTTTCAAGCCAGCCTGAACTACAGATTGGAACTCTTGTCTCCAAAAAACAAATAAACAAAAAAATAAGAATAAATAAAATTAGCAGAATAGGACAACACAACAATTACAACTACACTTGAAATATATAACAAATTAAATGGAAATATAGAAAATATTAAAGGCCCAAGTCAAACTGGAGATTAAAATTTGCAGTGTATGATAGAATTAAAGGATAGGATTGATGGCAGTTTGGAGATAGATAGATAAATAGATAGATAGATAGATAGAT